ACACATTGGCTGTCAATGCAAACAATACAGAACATTTAGATCCCAAATTATGCCCACATTGTCTCTAATTGGCAGGAAGTTCTGATTCTTTTAAAGTCGTTTGTTTAATATTCTTTCTAAACGGAGTCCATCAGCATACCTTTAATAGCAAGGTCAAGTGTTTAATGGTCTTCCTCATGAATTAGAGCAGAATTATAGGACCTTCTGTGTAGTCTTTTATAGTAAAACATGTAGACAGGGGCTTTATTATAAGACTTTTGCTATATCACAGAATTCAGAATAAAAGAAGCCAGTTTGAGATCACACTGAAAAACTGTTCGTTGCCTGAGTACCACACAGGGATTGTACAACATGACTCTTCAGAGAGAGATTCCACACTATCAGACATTCTCAACCAGGGTCCTGAATATGGAACTTCTGTCTTACATGTGGGGACAAGTACATACTTATATTTTTTTCTAGCTCTTCAAAGTACTTAAAATGTAAAAGATTACCCTTGAGTGGTTAATTCAAATAAAAATAAGCTTACTGATAATAAGTTAAAAATACTAGACATAGTTTCAAAAGCCATCTTCCCCTTATTTAAATATTTCCAAGTTGCTATTTCACATAAAAAAAAAACTTACCATAGAAAATTATGACCTGCTTCCAAAACCTTATTAATCATAAGGGCTGCCATATTTTTGAAGTCAATCCTGGGCTCAAGAAATATCAATACATTTTAATAAGCCACTAAAATATTGTATTTACTTTCACTTATAAATACCACTTGGAAGGCAACAAAATGTTAAATCATTAAACTAATTCCTAAATATTGATTTTTAAAGTTTTGAGTGTACTTTGCAAAAAATTAGCAAAATTAACAAAAAAGTTTGGTGGGTTTCTTTTCTTTTGTTTTTTAAGGTAATACATCCAATAATGTTTCAAATGCTTGACACCCACTCAGTTTGACAATATTTGCATAGTTCTTGTAAAAAATGAATCAATCTGAAGACAAAAGTTGGCATATACCATGTGTTTCAAGTTATATTTTAAGAAATAATACAATCCATGACATTTCATGAAGTTGTTTATTCTTGTTATTAAAGCTTGGAATCAAGTAATCCTGGTTATTCTGGAAAAAGCACCTTGTTTGTAGGGATCATTCAATCATCTTTTTCTACTATCACTTCTCCATGAAGCACCTTTCTTCTTTGACGTAACATATGAAAATAGAGTTGTGGAAACACTTGATTGAAAAAAGAAAACACAGAAAATTGAGTTACTGTTTTACATATACTCAAAACTGACACCTGTTAAATGTAGCAGAGTCTGAGAATACATTCATCAGATACTTACTCTCCCCATCCCAAAGTTACTATCACTACTAACATTACAAAGTCCAGGGTATGAGTACAAATTGAGGCCCATGTACCACAAGCCTAAATTTTGTAAAGCCATACATTGCTGTTGTTTTAAGCAAACATCAATATTCTGATAAATATACCTTTATTATGACCTGGAAGGACATGTGTCAACTGAGAAATCCCTAAGTCTTTAGAATACACCACATCAGAACATTCTCCCTGCTCAATCGGCTGGATCCTGCACAGGGAATCGTTTCATATCCCAGTACACACATGCCAGTGTCACCATCCATATCTCTCACAACAGCTGTCCCTTGGTTCATGCAGCGGTCTCAGAGGTGTGAACCCTGGTGACCTG